ATTTTGTTTGTTTTTGATTTGGTGATGGTGGAGAGATTATATGTTGGATTCTATCCCTTTTTCCTTTTGACTGTTAGTAAGTTGGGATTATCTATTTCCTATGTTTTTCTGGTTGTGGCTAACTTCCATGGGTTGCAGTTTTCCTTCCAGTACTTTCTGTAGGGCTGGATTGGTGGATATGTATTGTTTAAATCTGGTTTTGTCATGGAATATCTTGTTTTCTCCATCTATAATGATTGAAAGCTTTGCTGGGTATAATAGTCCGGGCTGGCATCCATCATCTCTTAAGTGTAGGTAGAATATCTATCCAGGACCTTCTGGCTTTCAGAGTTTCCATGGAACAGTCAGGTGTGATTCTGATAGGTTTGCCTTTATAGGTTACTTGACCTTTTTCCTTTGCAGCTCTTCATATTTTGTCTTTGTTGTGTATGTTTGGTGTTTTGATTATTATGTGGCAAGGTGACCTTTTTTTTGGTTCAGTCTATTTGGTGTTCTGTAGGCTTATTGTAATTTCATTTGTATATCTTTCTTTAGGTTGGAAAAGTTTTCTTCTATGATGTTGTTTATTATGTTTTCTGTGCCTTTGAGTTGGATTTCTTCACCTTCTTCTATACCTATTATTCTTAGGTTTATTCTTTTCAAAGTATCCTATATTTCCTGGATATTTTGTGATAGGGATTTGTTGAACTTAAGATTTTCTTTGGTTGATGAATCTATTTCAGCTAGTATATCTTCAACTCCTGAGATTCTCTCTTCCATCTCTTGTATTCTGTTGGTTATGCTTACATCTGTAGCTCCTGATTGTTTACCCAGCTTTTCTATTTCCACCATTCCCTCATATTGTGCTTTCTTTATTGTCTCTATTTCAGTTTTTAGGTCTTGAACTGTTTCCTTGAGAGATTTGTTGATAACTTGTATTTTTTGGTTAGTTTTTTCTTCCATTTCTTTAAGGGCTTTTCTCATGACTTCATTGATGTCCTCTATCATTTTCATGAAGATGCTTTTAATGTCATTCTCTTCTGGTTCATCTGCATCGTGATTTTGAGGTCTTACTGGTGTATGGTTCCTAGTCTCCAGTGGTGTCATATTGGGTTTTCTGTTGTTGGATGTGCTTTACCTTGTCCTCTTCTCTTCCTTTCTTCTGATGGGTGTAGCAAGAGTTTCTTGTCCTCCTGGTGGGTGTGGGACCAAGGTTCTCTTCTGGTAGATGCAAACAGATCCAATACTCTGATGTCAGTCCTCTTCTTGTGGATGGAGGTGTCACTGTTACCTGGGTGTTGGCAGTGTTTGGGCCTGCCAGGTCCCGCTGGGCGGGCAGTTGGGGGCAGAGCTGTCACCAGGCCTTGGTGTGTCGGATTCCACTGCCGAACTCCATCTAGCATGCAGGTGGCTTGTGTCAGATGACCCTGAACAGCCATGACGAACAGGAGCCGGAAACAGCTCCTGGCCTACCTGGGCCGGCAGATGGAGGCCGGGTTGCCTCTGGGTGTTCGGTGTTCAGAACCCGATGCCGCTGAACTCGTTCCGGCATGCAGGTTGCTTGCCTCAGATGACTCTGAGCAGTGACAATGAGCAACCTCTCTGATTTTTTTTTTATTTGTGGTATGATTTTTCTGTGCAGCACTGACTGTCCTGAAACTTGCTCTATAGACCAGGTTGGCCTTGAACTCACAGCAACTTGCCTGCATCTGCTTCTTCAAAATGGGATTAAAAGTATGTTCTGCCACCCCTAAGCTTATTCTGAAAATTTGTTGTTTGAGATGTCAACCATTTTATTGAAAAGCTATTTAATTATGAAACTCCCATTTATTCTACATAAAAATTTAAGACTAAAATAGCTGAAGATTTTTAGTATATCTCCTTGCATATATATAGGCCCTGTTCCTGGCTGAATCCACTCAGGCAGTATGCTGGTAAGCCCAGGGTTCCATGGGAACTAAGTATGCATATAGGTGTGAAGGGCCCATTTAAAAGACAGACCCCAGCCCACTTACTCTCTCTCACTGTCTTTGCTCTCTTACTTTCTCTGATTTCCTGTCTCTCTCTTACACTTAGTTTCTCTCTCATCTTTCCCACTCTCCCTCTCCCCCTCTCCCACCCTGTAATAAACTGGTTAATGTACTCTTTACAGTTTGTGTTCCATTGCATCGGTTACCATCTCGAGGTTTCTTTTTTTTTTTTTTTTACTAATTTTTAAACTTTTACAAAATAACGTGTGTGTGTGTGTGTGTGTGTGTGTGTGTGTGTGTGTGTATAATTTTCTGACTTACATTCTGAAAAATTTTTACCTAAGTAAAATGATTCCATTAATTGTATATTTTCCCTTCTTCCATATCTGTGTGCACATTATACTCAATATATAATTTCACAGAAGACCACACATCATTCTACCCAGCAAATGGACACAGAAGTATTGGAAGCATTGAACTGGAGACCTTATATTTAAGAATGTTCTAGGACTATGGGGATGAGAGCAAGGAGCATGCACTATGTTATGATGTAAATAATCACTACTCAACTGCCATCCCAGGTAGTACAGATAAAATAGATCAAGACTATCATTTCACAAGGAAGTCATATCAGGTCTCTTATCTTTTCAAAAAAATCTTCAGTAGTGAACCATTCACATATTTTTTTGTATTTTTATTTAAATTAGGAACAAGCTTCTTTTACATGCCAATCTCAGCTCCCTCTTCCCCACTCCTCTCCTTCCCCGCCCCACTGACTCCCCTGTCCCAACCCCTTTCTGCTCCCAAGGAAGGGTGGGGCTTTCCATGAGGGATCTTCAAAGTCTGTCATACCATTTGGAACAGGGCATAGACACTCCACAGTGTGTCTAGGCTGAGACAGTATACCTCCATGTGGAGAGGGACCCAAAAGTTCTTTTGTGTACTAGGGTTAAATACTGATCCACTATCAGTGGCCTCATAGATAGTTCAGATCTCCAAACTGACTTCCTCCTTCAGAGGATCTGGAACAATCCTATGCTTGTTTCCCAGCTATCAGTCTGGGGTCTATGAACAACCCCTTGTTCAGGTCAGCTGTTTCTGTGGGTTTCTCCAGCCTGGTCTTGACCCCTTTGCTCATTATTCCTCCCTCTCTGCAACTGGATTCCAGAGGTCAGATCAGTGTTTATCTGTGGGTGTCTGCTTCCATCAGCTACTGGCTGAAGGCACAAGGATGGCATATAAGGTAGTCATCAACCTCATTATCAGAGAGGGCTTTTAAGGTAGCCTCTCAACTATTGCTTAGATTGTTAGTTGGCGTCAACCTTGTATGTCTCTGGACATTTCCCTATGTCAGAATTCTCTTTAAACCTATAATGGCTTCCTCTATGATGGTATCCCTTTTCTTGCTCTCCTCTATTCTTCCCCTGACTAGATCTTCCTGTTCCCTCATGTTCCCTCTCTGCTCCTCTTCTCCCCTTCTCTTTCTTATAACTCCCTCTCCCCTCCCACCATGATCCCCAATAGCTTAGGAGATCTTGTCTCTTTCCCCTTCTCCAGGGGATTATGTGTGTCTCTCCAGTTTCTTCATGTGGGCACTTAGTGCTATGAACTTTCCTCATAGTACTGCTTTCAAAGTGTCCCATAAGTTTGGGCATGTCGTGTCCTCATTCTCATTGAATTCTAGGAAATCTTTAATTTCTTCCTCGACCCATGGATGGTGCAATTGGGCAGCATAGAATTTCCATGAGTTTGTAGGTTTTCTACAATTTGTGCTGTTGTTGAATTCTAACTTTAAAGCATGGTGGTCTGATAAGACAAAAGGGGTTATTATAATTTTTTTTGTACTTGTTGAGGTTTGTTATGTTTTGGAGTATGTGGTCGATTTTAGAGAAGATTCCATGTGGTGCTGAGAAGAAAGTATATTTTCTGTGTGTTTGGATGGAATGTTCTATAGATGTCTTTTAAACCCAATTGGGCCATAACTTCTGTTAGTTCCTTTGTTTCTTTGTTAGGTTTCTGTTGGGTGTTCCTGTCTAGTGGTGAGAGTGGAGTGTTGAAGTCTCCCACTATGAGTGTGTGATGTTGTTTTGTGATTTGAGTTTTGTAATGTTTCTTTTACAAACATGGATGCCTATGTATTTGGGGCATAGATGTTCAGAATTGAGACTTCATCTTGAGGGATTTCACCTGTGATGAGTAGAAAGTGACCTCCTTCATCTCTTTTGATTGATTTTAGTTTAAATTCTAATTTGTTAGATATTAGGATTGCTACCCCTGCTTGTTTCTTGGGTCCATTTGGTTAGAAAATCTTTTGCCAACCCTTAACTCTGACATTGAGTTGTTGTTCTTGTATGCAGCAGAAGGATGGATTCTATCTTCTTATACATTCTGCTAGCCTGTGTCATTTTATAGGCAAGTTAAGACCATTAATATTGAGGGATATTAATGTCCAGTGATTGTTCATTTTGGTTTTTTTTTTTGCATTTGGTGGTGGTGGAGGAATTGTGTGTGGATTTCCACCCCATTTTTTCTTTTGGCTGTTGGTAAAGAAGGATTATCGATTGCCTATATTTTTCTGGTTGTAGTTAACTTCCTTGGGTTAGAGTTTTTCTTCCAGAACTTTCTTTGGGCTGGATTGGTGGGTATGTATTGTTTAAATCTGGTTTTGTCATGGAATATCTTGTTTTCTCCATCTATAATGATTGAAAGCTTTGCTGGGTATAGTAGTCTGGGCTGGCATCCATGGCCTCTTTCCTGTAGGTAGAATATCTATCCAGGACCTCTGGCTTTCAGAGTTTCCATGGAAAAGTCAGGTGTGATTCTGATAGGTTTGCCTTGATATGTTACTCAACCTTTTTCCTTTGCTGCCCTTAGTATTCTTTCTTTATTCTCTATGTTTGGGGTTTTGGTGACTTTTTTATGGTCCACTCAATTTGGTGTTCTGTAAGCTTCTTGTACTTTCATTTGCATGTCTTTCTTTAAAATGTAAATATGTATACTGATGAGGTTTGGGTAATAGAAATATCAAATATTTCTGAGTTCCATACATTATAACCTAGGCAGAGCAATGTTTTAATAGTAAAACTTGGCATTGTCACCTACAACATTCATTTTCAATTGCTATTTCATTTGTATTGTCATATCATAACAATGTAATGGGGACTAAGTTTTCCATATCCTGTACATTCATAACTCAAACTATAGAATGCTTTTCTATTTTCCTTTCATACATGTTAATTTTAAGATAAGTCTAAATTCTATGCTTTTCCAAAGAGTTTATCACCCAAGATACTTTAGTTTTCAAATAGAAACAAGGATCATTTTAAAGACTGAACATAATGCTATCACCTTAAATTATGCTTTGTGGTCATTAATCTATTTTTCCTCCAATTTTAATATGTCTCTTGTGTGATTTATATGCACACCACAATAGTAGAGTACTTACCTCAAGTTCAAAAACAAAACCAAAAAACAAAACAGCTAATGAACACAGTGCCCCAACAGACATAATCATATGGCCAGCACTAATTGAACCCTACTGGTGATAAATTGAAAAAAGGCGGGTGGGAGAGCCTGTGATTAAAGGTGTTGTACTGACTGCTAGTGAAGAGTGATCAATAGTTTCTCCCATTTTGGGGGGTGGGGTTGAGACAGGCTTTCTCTGTGTAGCTTTGGAGCCTATCCTGGCACTCACTCTGGAGACCAGGCTGGCCCCGAACTCACAGAGATCTGCCTGTCTCTGCCTCCCGAGTGCTGGGAATAAAGGCGTGCGCCACCAACGGCCGTCTTAGTTTCTCCCATTTTTTAATCCATCCGGGTACTGTAATGACTTGACATGTGACCTGTGTGGTGTAATGTTAGCATAACTGCTGGGAGGATAATTTCACTGATTTGAATGAGATTGGCATAGACTCATATTTGGACACTTAGTCCCCAGTTGGTAGCACTGTTTTGGGAGGCTAAGGGAGTGTGGCTTTACTGGAGAAAGTACATCACTGGGGGAAAGCTTTAAGAGGTGGGGAGTCCTTTAGTCACTCACACTTCTGTCTATTTGCTCGCTATTGAAGGTGTCATTTCTCCTATCCCAGCTGCCATACCTCCCTACCATTTAACTAATACAGTAGTTAACCACTTTATTGACTGAACTTAAAGATCCCTTCAAAGAGAAAACACATGCCTGGTTCTGAAAACCTGGTCAAGAATATGGTGCATGAAAGTTCATAGGGACTAGGGGGACACAGTATAGCTATTGTGCTCAAAATCACATGTCAACCACCCTCTTAAATTTTCATCTTTAAAGTTAAATATTTTGCTTCTTAGTTCAGTAGATACCGGGTAATGCAGAAACTCCAAACTGGAATAAATGATGCTGGAAGACTCTGTGCCAGGTGGAACCACTGAACTGCCCCTTCCAAAGTTCAGCAGCCACTGTGAAAGAGTTGAAAAACTAGAGAAGCAAGAGCTAGGAGTTGGGGAGGAGTACACTGAAAAAAAGCCTCTGGCCACAAGATAGCTGTTATTCTGTTGATGTGATCATCTGCACAAGGCTTCACAATACAGGGCCCATCAATATTTTACATGGTTGTAGGGACCCATAAGGCTGTCACCCTTAGCCAGGTGTCTATTGGAAGTTAAGGGTGCTAGTTGGAGGTGGTGGCTCTTATTTTGAAACAGGTGTAGCATCTGATGAGGCTACAATTGCTTGCGGTGCTCAGCAAAGCAAGTCTCATTAAAGTGTTTCTCAAACGAAGACTTGTAAGGAGGAAGAACATCAATCTTCTCGTTTCATCAAACGGCTCTCCCGTCATCTGCATAGAAACCTTAAACAACAGATTTCTTTTCTTCTATGAGTGTTCTGCCTGCAGGCAAGTGCGCCACATTTGGCAGTGCCAGGAGAAGCATCAAGAGTAGTGTCAGATTTCCTGGATCTGGAGTGATAAATGGTCTGATTATTATGCACCATTTGGGGTTGACACTTGAGTCTCAATCTTCCAGAACAGCCACAAATCTTCTTAATGCCAAGCTATCACTCCCACCCTGCATAGAAACATGTAATCCAGTCAGAACAATCCAGCACCACAGTGGGGAACTTCGATAGCTCCTTCCCTAACAGAGTGGCAAGGAGTACCTGCAGGTGAGAACCATGCCCAGTGACTGAAAAGGCAATGTTATGTTAATGTTAAAAATATTTGGACTTTGGTTGATGCTGACAGCAGTTGTGCTTTGATTACATCTAGGGCCCAGGATTAGTAATCCAACAAGCATCACTTCATACACTCCTGTATAAAACAAGGCATGCTAAATTGATTAAGCTTAACAAATGGTAGTCAGCTGGCTCCTCATATACATTTCTGTCCTGTGTGCACAGATAGTTCATTCAGCTGAAGAGACAGGAGTAGGCAGAGGCAAGGAGACAGATATAGGCATAGCCAAAAAATGAGGTGGTTATTTCCCTGTGCACTAGAGATGGACCCATTGAATTCATTGGGGTTAAAAAAATTAAAAATAATAATAATATAAAAAATTCAATGAGCTTGTAAAGTATGCAGCTTGAGATGTGAGGCAGCCAGAAAAAAATAAAAGTTTTATATAACAATTTGGCTTAGAATCTTATGCACCGTAATCATCTGTGATCACCTAACACTCAGAAAACAGACTTGTATATTGCTTCACCATGGCCATTTTTATAACCATACCATTTGTTATGGGACAGTGGGTCCAGACTTACCATTGTTGTCCTGGCACACATCTCTAAAAAGTTTTGTTATAGACAGAAAACATAATACTAACCTTTAAGTGTGTTTCAAATTTAGAGACTCACCGAGAGACATACAATTGCATCTAATAAAAGCAAGTGTTCCCAGACTGCCATATATTTGTGTAAAAACCCACTGCTGTGAGCAGATTAATTCCCAAGAAGATGTTGGACAGGAAGGCTCTAGGAGCCCCTAAAAGAATAGAGGCGACTGTCATTGATACTGGTTGCATTCAAGAAGTGGATAGCTGAAGACATCACAGTGCTTTGGTTTGAGGACTGAATGGGATATCGCTGTTTCTTTTCCTCACTTGACTTTTCAAAGAAACAAAATACCTGTATTCACCATCAGCCTTACTCCAGAAACAGATGGGTAAATAAAAGGAACACATGAGTTAGAAGATCATAGCCAAACTTTTGGGTAACGGCCTCTGTGATGGATAATCTTGGTTGTCAACTGACTATATCTAGAGTCAATCAAATCCCAAACAACCAAACACACCGTTGAGGGACTTTTCCAGATTGGATAATTTGAAATGGAAAGACCCACCTTAAATCTGGGTCACAATTTCTGGTGGCAGGCTCTGTAAATGGACATGGAATAAGGAAGCTTTTTCTTTTTGATGTTTGCTCCCACTCTCACTAACAGGTTCACCTATCCTGCTACTGAGGCACTGTGTCCCTGGTACTAGAACATACTACTTGTCCTATTCTAAAATAATGACTACATTGTTATTATAGTCATTATTTTAGATGCCTATATTCTAATGAAAGAGGAAAGAAAAGCATGCTGATTTAAGTGGGTGAAAAGTGGTGAGGATCTTAGAGTGGCTGCATGGAGGGAGGGGGGCTGTGGTTAGAACATACTGTATGAAAAAAATCTATTTCCAATTAAAAAAAGAAAAAACTACTTTTTCAGGATTCCAATGTATATTGAAGACCAACTGAGACATCTAGTCCCATGGATTAAACAACTATAGGATCTTGGATTTTCCATCAGGAGACAGACATTTTGGAATTAGCCACACAGCCTGTAATCCACTCTAATAAATCCTTTTTTTTAATATATACTGATTCATCCTATCAGCTTTGTTCCTCTAGAGCAGTGGTTCTCAACATGTGGGTTGGGACCCCTTTGAAACCACGGAAAAACAGATTTTACATTATGATTCATAACAGTAGGAAAATTAGTTATGCGGTAGCCACAAAATTAATTTTATGATTGGAGATAACCACATGAAGAATTAAAGGGTCACACATTAGGAAGGTTGAAAACCACTGCTCTAGAGAATCCTGACTAATTCACCCACCAAGGCTCAGAGACCATAGCAGAGGGTGGGGGGGGGGCAGGAAGCAAAAACATACAAGCTGGAGGCAGGCGTGGAAGGCTGTGTAGTTATTTACTATTGGATCTGAAATTGGCATCAATACTCTCCAGCTCATTGGTGTCTCTGAGTAGTTAGGGGGCAGTCACTAACTACTTAACTTCCCTCTGTCTCTGCCGTAAGGTCAGGCTTGATGCAGCAGCAGTTGACAAAAATGATAACATAATCATCTGCAAACAAGACAGCATGTGTTCACATTTCAACAAACTGTGAAATATCTACTGTGTTCACATTTCGACAAACTCCAATACTGGAAAAAAAATATTTCTGAAAAAAAATATAAAAAAAAATATTCTGAGTTTTCATATTTGCTCAAATATAAGAATCCATTTCCACTGAAATCCATGATAAATCCACGTATTCATTTGTTTTTTTCTTTCTAACACACTGGTCTTTATAATGTCTATGACTTTATGCCTTCGTCTTTCTAATATCACTCTTCTATTACACTTTGAAACAAGACTAAATACCTCCTCAATGGTGAGTACTTGAAACTTATTTTCCTGTACATCCTTGAGGCCTTCAGAGCTATTATTCACGAGCATGCATGTGTTGTTATACTCCTATGTCTCTGTCAAGGTTTCTTACATTCTTGATATTTGCAGTTTTGCTCCATAATGAACAAACAAATTTTGATTAAGGCATTTTCTTGGGTTTCTTTCAGGATGAGATTCTCTCTCTCTCTCTCTCTCTCTCTCTCTCTCTCTCTGTGTGTGTGTGTGTGTGTGTGTGTGTGTGTGTGTGTGTGTGCTACAATTTTGGCATTAGAAAAAAATTGACAAATTGAATGCGTTTATGAGGATTCTGTAACGTGGAATTTCCAATGAACAGCAAGACACAAGGATGGCACACAGGTATACATTTTATACTGTTTCTTTTCGGTATGGGATTTCTGATATACAAGACTGGTGCACAAACTAAAAGCTTGGTCCCATTCTTTAGGCTCCTACATTTTGTCCTCATTGTATCTACTTTTGATATTGTACTACAAAAGTGTATTTCTTAAAAATTTTCCCATATGGTTATACCCACAAGAATTTTTTCTAGTATAAGTTCTTGTGATATTTTCTAAGATCTCAACCTTCATTAAAGGTTTTCAAAAGTTTCTGATGTCCTTGTTTCTCTCTATTATAGATCCTGTTGTGGCTCGCAAGGATAAAGATCAGGATAAAGAATATGCCGCCTTACTTACAATAGTGTTTTTATCCCCAGTGTGAATCTTCTGATGTCTTCTAAGAGTTGAGAACCGGGTAAAATATTTGTCACATTCCTGACATTTGTAAGGCTTCTCTCCAGTATGAATTCTCTGATGCCTTCTAAGATTCGAATGCTGGGTAAAGGATTTGTCACAGTCTTTGCATTTGTAAGGTTTCTCTCCAGAATGAATTTTCTGATGTGTTTTCAGAATTGAGTTCGTGGTAAAGGATTTGTCACATACTTCACATTTATAAGGCTTCTCTCCAGTATGGGTTCTGTAATGCCTTTTAAGATGTGACAATTCAAGGAAAGACTTACCGCATTCTTTGCACATGTACAGTTTCTCTACAGAATGTATTTTCTGGTGCTTTCTAAAAGATGAACAGTGAATAAATGATCTATCACACTCGTTGCATTTGTAAGGCTTCTCACCAATATGGGTTCTGTAATGGCTTTTAAGGTATAGCAACTGATAGAACACCTTGCCACATTCTTGACAACTATAAAGTTCCTCAGCAGTGTGGATTTTCTTATGTCTCCTGAAAGTGGAACAGTGGGCAAAGGATTTGTCACATTCCTGACATTTGTAAGGCTTCTCTCCAGTATGGACAATGCAATGGCTTTTAAGAGCTGACAACTGAAGAAAAGACTTACCACATTCTTTGCATCTATAAGGTTTCTCTCCGGTATGAATTTTTCTATGTGTTCTAAGATTTGAACAATGGGTAAAAGATTTGTCACAAACATCACATCTATACAGTTTTTTTTCAATATGAATTTTTGGATATTCAGTGAGACTTGAGCAGGAACCAAAGCATTCTTCACACTTCCTAAATTTGTGTGGTTTCTCTCCAATACAGATTGCTTGTTGCATAAGTTTGTAGGTAGAGGCAAATGATGAGTTTTTATATTTTTGAGGTTCTTCTGTAGCGTGTATGCTTTTATATCTATTTAGGTTTGATGACTGAATCGAGGCATCCTTGTGACTATAGTCACAGCTAAAGTTATTCGGGCTTTCTGTAGTGTTACTTGTTTTATAAACTGTGCATCTTGTGGATTCATGAAGCATTTTGCCAAGCTCATTGCATTTAGAATACTTCTCTTCACTCTCCACATGTTGATGGACAATAGCACACATGCAATAGTTCTCTGAAAAGTGAGACATTAAGATTAATAATAGGGTTTGATTTAAGACTAAACACATCCAATGTATGATTGCTTCATTAACTTTTCTCTTTTAAGGAAACCAGTAACTATGAATAAAGCTCTCAGTAGTAGACATTCTTTTGCCCACTGTAATTGTTATAGATTCTCACAAAAATTTATGGAGTTATAATCTTCAAGAGTCAATGTTTTATAGTAGCCACTTCATTCTTATCTAAAATGTGTAACTTGGTACATGTAATTGAGGAATCAATAATTAAATTTGGGATGGAACTCTGACTACATTTAGAATACATTTCTTATTTAAATTTTTCAGAAATGACTAAAGAAATAGTTTAATCCAATACAACATTCATAATATTTGCCTCACTAAGTAAATTAGCAAAGATTACTCTTTAGGATACCTAATTTCTTTGAAAGTTAAATTGCTACTTAACACCTTCTTAAGGAATTTTTCTCAATGTCATGTCAGAGTCCTGAAAAGTAGTAAGTGCAAAACAAATATTTCTGCTAGATGTCGCATGTTATAGATCATTAGAGAAAGAGACGTCATTGTGAGCAATTGCTTATTTATAACTCTATGCTGACCCAGCTCCACATACTGCGGTGTTTCCCCTATTTCCTAAAATGGAAAGTCCCCAGGCCACTGCGCTGGCATTCACTGGTTCCTGAGATGACTTTTCCGGAAGGGCAATTCCACTGAGAAAACAAATGAAGGATGCAACACGATGTCGTATTTACAAGAATGGCAATGAGAGAACAAAGCTACTTACTGGACTTATGACAGATTATAAAACACACAATCATTTCAAGATGACAGCATTTGCATACTAGTATTAAGTCAACAGAACTCAGACATTATAAGACACAGAGGTTTTTGTTTTGTTTTGTTTTGTTTATGTATCTTGAGGACAACATACACAGTCAACTTGTCAAGAATTACCATGAGTGAACTGAACTTGGTAAAACCCTTTTCAGATGTTACTTCCTGTTTCACTTGAACCCCTCATTTTGGACCTGCTCATTCATTCAACCCCACCTGGTTTTATGGCTATCTAGCGATTTTCCCCTTTCTCTTCACATTTTAGGATACTTTGCTTGCCACAGAACCCTTGCTAGATTCTTGATAAAGTTATATGTACACCTAAGCTAACACAATATTGGGCTCAGCAAAAGAGCAGAGCACAAAATAAAGGAATCTAGAAAGAAATTGCCAATTGTGATTTCCTGTCAGTATCTTAAAGATATTTAGGGAAGCGTTTTCAGCGTGTGTATTTTAAATGAATGATGAAAATGGAACTTTAAGATATGCATGGACATACCATATGTTACTGAGTTTCTGAATGTATCATAGAACAAAAATGAAGGATGCATAATACCTCCAAAAGGGAAGACACAACAAATACATAATATCATGAAAAACTTCATTTCTACTACCTAAATTTTGATAATTTCCTTTAGTTTGTGAGCCAGCTTCACACAGAGATTACACATCTGAAAAGCTGATCTACACAAAAGATGAATGTTAGGAGCTGAGGAGGCCCTGAGTGTGTGAAATCTAAGTAAAAGTCTATTGTTACAGACCTATAGTTAAAGACCACAGTCTCAGACCCATGAGAAAATGACAAAGTCTTCCTCCTCAGGGTGAGGCTCAGAAAGATAGAAAAGCCTTCCTCTGGGGTCTAGATGGAAACAGCGCCACATTGGCAGCATGTGCAGAAAATGTCCCCCTTAGCTTTCTTCTCCTGGATGTTTATGACTGTTCCACTACAGTCATGGCTCCTTATTAATTTGAGCTAACCCTGTCCCTTGATTCAGCTGTACACCATAAACCTGCCTCCTTGTTCATCCATATATAATCCCCACACCTCCTTGTTCAACTCTATATAATAAATAAACTAAACTTCTAGGGTGCTATGGTTTCTCCATCTAAGAGCTAAGCCCACCTGATCCACAATTTTCTGTGTGCTCAGGTGTTTGTTTTTTCTTCATTCTTTCATTGTCCCTACTCAGGTCAAGTCCCCAGAGCTATGCAAGAATGTGACAAGATTGAGCTAGAAATTCTGCAAGAAAAATGTTCTCACCCACAGAGACCAGATTGCTGTAATTCTCCAACATCACATCAATGTACAAAGCCCTCTGAACAGAGTCCAGACATTCCCACTCCTCCTGGGAGAAGTCCACAGCCACATCCCTGAATGTCAAGAGACCCTGAAATAACAAACCATAGCTTTATCATGTACAACTACATAGACAGCTTTCCTATATACAAGGAAACAAAGTTATGGAAATTAAGCACTTTATATAACATTATCAGAATCAGATCATTAAAGGCTTGCAAGGTTTCAGTACACAGCATTTTTAACAGAAAAATAGACATGGCTACTAACCTGAGATGTGTTTACCACAGGACCATCCATTTCTCCCTGTTGCTCTCTTCTCTCAGCTTTTTGTGTGAGGAACAACGACAGGACCTCTTCTGCTCCTTCCATATCAAAATGTTAAACATAAAAAGCTAATATCAATACTGAGATCTCTTAAGGAACAATGACAACATAAAAGGATCAAACCCCCAGAATAATAACAGATGTTGTGTTAACAATACTAAAGCCAGGGGAACATGGGATATATATTTAAAAGCCAGAAAGAAAAAACTGTCAACCACATTGTTGCAGCCAGAAAAAAATTGTTGGAGTACATTTCAAGATAATTACAAATGAACACAATTCATTTCAGCCAAGCAGCATTGCACATAATAAACAGAGGCAAACCATAAACCAAATCATTAGAGAGAAAATATCCATGAGAAGACAGGAAATGATACTTTTCATTTGAGTAATATACAAATGCAGGAGAGACAGGAAGTAACCAACCACTTTCCAACATAGTAGCAGATTAACTGATTCCAAGAAGGAAGACAGAAATGTGCTATCAATAATCCAACCAACAAGAAGAGCAATGAAATCAGAGCAAAGAAAAATCCTATGGAATAAAATTCCCAATAGAAACAGAAATGCCATCTCACAAAGCTCAGCAAGTGATTATGGTAAAACTTGTAAAGGAATTAGGAATACACGGAACAGAGCTCACACAATAAAGGATTTATACGGCAAACCTAAGACAACAGTGCAGGGCAAAGAAAAAGATCTGCATCATTGCTTCTAAAATTGTAATTGCAAAGATTTATTTATTTTATGACTGTTTTACCAGCATGGATGTATGTGCACCATGTGTATACCTGGTGCCTCTGGCGTTCAGAAGAGGGTGCTGGATCCCCTGCTTGTGGGGGGCCGTGTGGGTACTGGAACTGAACCCTGGTCCTCTGAAAGCAACAAATGCTAACTGCTGAGCCATCTCTCCAGGCTTTACCTATAAAATTTTAACAAGAGAAATATACAAACTCTCTTCAGTCTTGTTTGATATAGAGTATTAAGAGATAGCTTGAGAAAAATGAAGAAATCAAAGAGAAAAGCAATGAATGGAGGCAAGGAATACATCAAACTACTTTTTTGATGATGGAATTCTTAGATGAGATGAGTGCTTTAAGTAATACTGAAGAATAGAAAATTAACATAAAAATTGCTAGTTTCCCATATGCCTATAATGAACACATGGAGAAATAAATTAGAAAAAATTTTTAAAAGCTTTTAAAAGGCACAGGAATAAGCTTAATTATCACCAAGATGAATTTTAGAATTTTTTATTTAAAATTGTTTTTTCATATATTCTTCCCTCCCTCAACTCTTTTCAGATCTCTCCCCTCTCTCTCTCTCTCTCTCTCTCTCTCTCTCTCTCTCTCTCTCTCTCTCTCACACACACACACACACACACACAGTTTTATGTTGGGCAACTACTCCTGGGCATAGGGACTGCCCAGGAGTATGGTTGACACCCAGTGTCACTCCACTGGAGAAAACTGATTTTCCCTTCCCTAGCAGATAGTAATTCCAGAGTTCTTGGTCAGGGCTGGGAATCTGTGCTCACTTCCATTTCTCAGTGCTGGGTTTTTGTCTGCTTTGAACTTGTACAAATCTTAGACACACTGTAACTTGTGCTAAAAAAAAATGTAAGGCACTAAATAGAAAAAGGACAAAGACAGCAAATAAGAAAATGGGTTTCCATGCACACTTACTATAAGTGACAATGTGCACATGGCCATATTCCCAACATCAGTCTAAGAAATCAGTGCAAACCCTGTCAGCAAAATAATGGTTTAAAATGTATTTTATTATTTTTATGTATATAAGTATTTGAGCTACATGTATGTCTGCACACCATGGATGCCTGGTACCTTTAGAAGCCAGAGGTAGATGTCGATCACCTGGAACTATTGTTACAGATGGTTTTGAGCAACCATCTGGGTGTTAGGAAACAGATCCTGTTCCTCTGCAAGAACAGCCAATACTTGTAACTGCTGAGCCATCTCTCAGCCCATCCTCAGTTCCCCTTTTTGTTAGAGACAAATTATCACTAAGTAGCCCTGGCTGACCTGGAAGTATGATGTAGACCAGGCTAGCCTTAGACCCACACAGAACTGCCTACTTCTTCCTCCTGAGTGCTGGGATCAGCTTTGTACACATGACAAATACATGATATTTGCCTAATCTCATACAGCTATTTAACAATATGGTCCACGTTCATTGATATCACAAAATATATATTCAGTATGCCTCAATCCTATTACTAACCTACTGTTTACATAAATATGGAGTCATTATATTACACATACATTACATGTATGTTACAGCTACATTTTAATCTTTTGATTGTTAATAGATATTTTAATGATTTCTTTTTAAAATTATTTCTATTTATTTATTATTTCTGTGTGTTATTATGTGTGTGCTTTCTGGATGCATGTGCACTACCTTTGCAACTGGTGCGCGCAGAGTTCAGAGGAGGGCATCACAGGTCAGAAGAGGGCATCACAAATTCCCTGGAACTGGAGTTACAGATGATGTGAGCTGTCACGTGGGCACTAGCATTCAAATACAGGTCCTTTGGAAAAGCAGCCAGTGCCTCTAACCTCTGAGTCATCTCTCCAATCCCTCTTTATAGACTTAAATACACTAAGAAACCAAACATACCCAGTTATATTCCAGTTCCAGGGGATCTAATGCCCTTTCCTGGCCTCTAGGGCCATCAGGTTTGCATATAGTACACAGATATGCATGCAGCCAAAATCACCTAAACACATAAAATAATTTTAAATTAAAAATAAATATATATGAAGAACATGGAACAGTTTGTTGAGTGAGACTTAGACCAAAATGAATACACAGACCTTAATACAACTTATTTTCTGATGATGGTGGCAAGTCCTGTTTAGCAATCACAAGCTAGGGGCACTGGGGACATGTCCTTCCCAGATCATGACTGACTGACTAATCACTCTGGAGGTTCGAGAGATCGGAGTGCTGTGGTTACATCTTAGAATAAGAAAACTGTGATATTAATACAATTCACCTTTCCATTGTTTGTGTTTTCATAGATTTTGTTTTATCCCTCAACTGAGACTCCTTCCTTTCTGATAACTCTAGTTGTGTCAAGTTGGCACACAAAACCAGTGAGTACATAGGCTAACAGCAGATCGTCACCTCTCCCTCTGCTCTTCCAAATCCAATCCTCCAGTCTCATCCCCAGCTCAGCAGCAAACCTTTCCTTATAGCCTCTCCTCACTATCTGCCCCAATTTTAGAGGGGACTAAGCAGATCCTAATGGAATACCATGTTTTCCTTCCTCCTATTCACTTCCCCCAGTCTTCTTCCACCCCATCCGCAAAGCCCAACCCTATTCCTAAATGTCAGTCCCAAGTTTCCAGGAAAAGCATTTTACCTTAAACTCACAGTGACTATATGTAGAAGTGTCCCAGAAGAATTTTCTACCAGGTGACAGAGCCACTCTCCTAACAACCAGAGAGGAACCAAAGGAACAAAATACCCAGCAAGCAAAGACAAGACAAGTTACCTGCACCTAGCATTACAATTTTCCCAATCACAGATGCCTAGATGTAGGCATAAAAACAGAATGAGTAATAGTCAGGAAAGTATGTCTGCACTAGAGCCCAGTAACCCTACCACAACAGGCCCAAGACACAACTGAAGCATAAGCTGGGGGGGGGCACGACAACATGACTTTAAAATAGCCTTGGGAGGTGGTGACCCACACCTTTAGTCCCAGCACTTGGGAGGCAGAGGCAGGCAGATCTCTGTGAGTTTGAGACCAGCCTGGTCTATAAGAGCTACTTCCAGGACAGCCTCCAAAGCCACAGAGAAACCCTGTCTCGGGGGAAAAAAAAAATCCTTGCTTAATAACTTTGAAGACCTCCCCCATGGAAGGCCTCACCCTCCCTGGAGAGCAAAAAGGGTATGGGATAGTGTTAGTTGGGGGGGGGGGAGGAGGAAAGGGAGAGTGACCTGGGATTGACATGTAATATAATTTTCTTTCTAATTAAAATTAGAAAATAAAATAAATAAATAAAAATAGCCTTTATACTGCAAAAGGTCCTTAAAGAGTAAATGAATAAATCTCTTTTTAAAAATCTATGAAAATACAAACAGTGGAAGAAAATGAATAAAACAGTTCAAGACCTACCCAAAGAAATCTAAAGATTCAATGCAATCCCCATTAAAATTCCAACACAATTCTCTACAGATCTTGATCTGACAATTTTCACCTTCATATGGAAACACATACACACACACACACCACCAAAAACAAAACAAAACAGAACAAAACCAACAAAAACGAGAGCTGTAACAATCCTGAAGAATGAAAGTACTGTAGATATATCAGCACCCTAGATTTCAAATTCTGCTACAGAGCTACAGTAATAAAAACCACATGGTAGTGGACCCTAGATTTCAAATTCTGCTACAGAGCTACAGTAATAAAAACCACATGATTCTGACACAAAGACATCCATATTATCAATGGATTTAGCTTGCAGACCTATACAGAAATCCACAAAGCTATGGACACCTAATTTTTGATAAAGGCAGAAGCACACACTGGAACAAAAACAGCATCTTCATAAAACAGTGTGATCAAACTGGATGTCTGCATGTAGAAGAACACAACAAAGAGCTCAATCTGCCACACTGTACAAAACTGAACTCCAAATTGAACATAGACCTCTACATAAAACCAGATACACTGAACCTGACAGAAAAGAAAGTGGGGGATAGCCTGGAACTCATTGGCATAAGGGAAGACTCTCTGAACAGAACATTGACAGCACAGGCACTAAGATTAACAATTAACAGATGGGATTTCATGAAATGTAAGGTTTCTGCATGGAAAGGACACCATTGTTAGCACAGAGTGGCAGCCTAGAGAATGAGATACTATTTTTACTAACTACATATCTGATAGAAGGCTAATATCTAAACTATATAAAGACCTAAAGAAAACCAGATATCAAAAAACAAATTATCCAATTAAAAAATAGGGTACGGACCTAAACAGAGAATTCTCAAAGAGGGAAACTCAAATGTGTGAGAAACACAAAAATGTCATCAGGGAAATGCCAATCAAAACTACTCTGACATTCCATGTTATACCCATCAGAATGTCTAAGACCAACAAAACAAGTGACAGCTCAGGCTAGAGAGGATGTATAGTAAGGGGAACACTCATCCATTGCAAGTGGGCTTCCCATTTGCTTTTGTTTATATGTTTTCTTTTTAATTTTATCTTACTTTTTTGTATATTCTCTCTTTTTACCCTATAGATTCTTTGGGAATATATTATATTTTTGGAATACATATTATATTGGAACATAATATATTCTTTGGGAATATATTATAGTTTCCAGTTAAGTGATTTTTTTAATAGGATTTCTGAGACCCACCCAAACAAGTGGATCTCTGTTTATATTTGTTTCTTGTGCCTTTTCTAGGTCACTTTATTATTGTCCCATAGAAGCCTGTTTGTTTTCCAGTGAGAGACAGGAATGGGATGGATGCAGATAGGAGGGGCAGTGAGGAGGAAAAACAAAACACAAAATGAAAACCAACCAAACAAGAAGATATACCATGAGTTTAGGCATCAAGAAGGAAGAGTGATGGTCATAATTATGGTAGGTGACAGACCATGAGTTTAGGCATCAAGAAGGAAGAGTGATGGTCATAATTATGGTAGGGGAAAAAAAAAGAAAAATCTACCCAAATACAAAACAAAGAATATTATTAATCAGGGACAAAATGGCCCGTTCACTGTAAGACTTTGTGATAAATATGGACATATTTTATAAAACAACTTGCAAGAGGAAGCAATCATTGGCATATTATTAGGGGGAAAAATGGGCAGTGGAAACTTCAATACCCCATAGTCAATGATGGGTAATGAAACCAGACTGCATATGAATAAAGAAAGTAGACCAAGAACAGCACACAGAACGAGTTATGCCTAGTAGGCCTGCAGAGAATCAGCCACACAACAGCAGAAGGATTCAACCTTTTGAACCATCAAGGACCACTCCTCTGAAACTGTAATGCCTCCAGCATGGAACAAGCAATCTGGAATACAGACATTAACGGCAGATAGAAAACCAATCTGTAGTACAGACACAAACAGCAGATAGGAAACAGAAGAATAAATAAACTTCATGTGAATAATGACACATCGTAAACATGTTGTTATTCATACAAGAGAACAAAATGTAGAAGGAGATTAGTCCTCTAAAAGATTCGATACAATTTCTACCAAAACCCTACTCACAATTTATTTATTTATTTACCTTTTGCAGAGGAAGGTAATATTAAAAGGACATACAATTTTGAAAACAACACAGTTTAAAGATCTTTGAGGAAGATGAAACTCAGGGGTGATTTCAAAAATATATTAAAATTATAGGATAAAAATCATGAAGTATTGGCATGAATACAGACAATCAGAGATATGAAGGGGAAGGCAATGGATGGAGGTAAAATACTTGAAGATAGTAAGCAATTCTTATCAAAATTCTGCTGGAGTTGTTAAAGAAGATGGAGAAATTAACTCTAAAAGATGTAAAATCTGAAGGAACTACAAATAGCTTTTAAATTCTGAGAACAGGAATCAAATAAAGAGGCATCAATTTTCCTTTACAACACATTAGAATTATAGTGGATGAAAACCATGTAATACTGGTATGGAGACAGGGAAATATGAATAGAACAGCGACATCACAGCTCACAAGCATAGTCAAATAAAATGATATTTGGCTTGTGGTATTAATTCTTACATAGAAAACCTAATGTCTCTAACAGGGCAATCCTGAGGAGATTCTTCTCAGAAAGATTGCTCAAAATCTTTTCTAATAAAGAGGATGTGGCAAGAACATTTTCATATCAGGTTTCCACTTTCACCTAAGCCTGAACCTGGTCCCTGCCTCTACTGTTCTGGTACCTTGTTACTTCCTCCTCCTCACTTTCCAAGGCTCTTTGTGTTGCTCCAGACAGGTGACGAGGTGTGGCTCATCAGTGTAAGACCTGCAAGCAAGAAACAGAGTCTTACCTAAGTACTTAGATTTCTAACACAGTGTTAAGTCCTATGAAGAGAAAATAAAATAGGGGCCTCTGGAAATCACTTCCCAATTGTTATTTCCTTTCAGAATACTGAATTTTTAAAAAAAAAAAAAAAGCAATTTTATTTGTACATCTTGAGTCCCAATTCTAAATTACACCTCAGTCAAAATTCTAGGGTAAGAACAGAACTTTATGAGAGGGTGATAATGTTGGACATTAGTTTCTGAATTATTCATGGAATAGAATAAAAGAAGTCTAACACCTCCAAAAAAAAAAAAAAAAGAACAAACATGAAGAAAAACCAAAATGTCAATGAAATCATGCCTTTCTCCTCTGAGACTTTCACTTTGGTCTTTGAGACCTAAGACTCACCCACACAAAACTCACACAAGCAGAATCATTTGCCAAGGAACCCAAGAAGGAGTAAGAAACACTGAAAAACAAACCTACCAACAAACTGTTCTTACCCACAGAAATCAGACTGCTGTAGTTCTCTATCATCAGGGTTTTGTACAAAGCTCTCTGGGCAGGATCTAAGTATTCCACCTCCTCCAGGGAGAAGTCCATAGCTACATCACTGCATGTCAACAATGGAATAAAAGACAACAGCTTAGGTATGTGTCTCCCACTGCAATAGAACCAAGAAGAAAAGAGACATCTTTCTGATGAAGGTGAGTAATCATAGCTATTCAAAAGATGCTTTCTTGCATCATCCCGTTCTACAACGTATTTTCTGACTGTAAAAACAGTAGGAAATGATCTCACACTCAGCATGCAGCCTGTGTTTGTCTGGACCCTAAGGTGTAATACTGAGACCTCAGTATAAGAATGTGTATTTTTGATAGCTGTATATACAGACTGTATATATCTCAGAGGGAACATTAACAGTTAATGTTTAGAACTGTAACTGTAGGGCTTGCTCAAGTATTTATTCTGATTCAGTCTTTCCTGACAAACTAACAGGGCTCTCTTGGCCAAGGTGCCAGGTACTAATGATATGGTCTTAAATATCAGACTGGGAGACCAGGATGTTAGAAATCATGGATGAGTTCAATGGCAAGGAGAACAATTAAAATATTTCTTACAGCCTCGCAACCACTCTTCTGCATTTACAAACATAAACACATACATTCAAATGACCTACAAGATTATCTTTATGAGAATATTCAGGCAAATGAGATAAATAATAAAACTAGGATGACTCAATTCGTATCAGCAAAACTTTACACAGAAAGATAAAACAATAACAGTAGTCTCGAGCTGGTTTCCTGACTGAACAGTAAGCAAGAAAAGTGATCACACCCTGGTCCTTTTCTCCCGAGTCCCGCCGCTGCGCTGACCTGCTATTTCCCCAGGCTCTGGGCCTGTGTCTCCCGTCACTGCGATGCTCTGACCTGGCTGAGTTTTGCAGGCCGCCTCACGTGACTCCCGTGGCCCGGGTGAGCTTTCACATCCTAGCTAGGACCCTGTCCCTGCCACCCCGCCTGAGCCTGAGATCCACTCTAGCTGCAGAGAGTTCGTCCTGTTGCCTTAAGTTTTCCGGGCCCCTGCAGCCCCTGCAGCTACAGCTCATTTGCTTTTACTCCTCCCACTAGGCCATCAGTTCCGGTACGTCACAGCCCTGACCCCACCCCGCTTACGTCACACCCTTGAATTTCGTCGGTCTACCCTTACTGTCTCTCCGCCCGCCCCCATCACTCCTGTCACAAAGGTGAAAGTCCTCTTCCCCACTGAGGGCGGCCACGCCCACTCTGTCTGGCTCCCTCCTACAGGGATACTTGCTAAGACTTAAAGCAGACCCTGATCCAGGAGAACTTGTCCTGGCCCCTCCTCCTGGGCTCTCACGATTTCAGATACAAGAGATCCAGCCTAGTAAGGCATTCCAGCCCCTTAGGGGAAAACTAAGTTCCAAAAGAAAGCTAGCTAACAACGGAAATCCCCAACATAGCACAAACTAAAAACAAAACAGTTTTCTCTATCCATTCTTCAGTTGAGGAGCATCTAGGTTGCTTCCAGGTTCAGCAGAAATATTCAGTTGGGGAAAGAATAGAGGAGAAAGAGCAGAATGAGAGATACCATATCAGAGGGAGCCACTATAGGTCCGAGAAGAGATCTGGAACCAGGGAGATCTCCAGAGACCTACAAGGATGACACGATCTGACAATCCAGGCAATGGTGGAGAGGATAACCTAAAAGCCCTTCCCCTAAAATAAAATTGATGACTACTCTTTATGCCATCCTAGAGCCCTCATCCAGTGGCTGATGGAAGCAGAGACAGACATCCACAGATATACACTGAGCCAAAATCTGGAATTTAGTTGAAGAGAGGGAGGAATGAAGAGCGAATGGGTCTGTACCAGGTAGAAGAAACCCACAGGAACAGTTGGCCTGAACAAGGGAGAGCACATCGACCCCAGATGCTACCTGGGAGGCCAGTACAAGACTGATCCAAACCCCTGAACATGGATGTCAATAAGGAGGCCTCTGCACTCCAG